GTGAGCTATTAATAACTTACAGTTTTCTGGTGAGCAAGTTATCAGGTTTTACTGTTAACCAGTGTTTCAAAGCAAAAATTATCTTTTTTCCATTGATGATCTCTTTTCACGGCTTACGCGATAGCTTTTTTTTAAATATAATTGTCATCGGCTCATTAACAAACTTGCGGTTATCTTGTTGTTTATCACACAATTTTATGATATGGCTACAATAGTTCAAGCGCTCTGATTAGCTGTTTTCTTGTAATGAGCGGACAATACTAGCTAGGTTTCCAAAACATATACAATCTGTGTTTAATTTTATAGTGGACATCCTTACGGACATTTATGTTATGGTCAATTGACAACTGTCAGAAAGGGCGTGCGGTGACCACTGTCACCTGACTGTATTGCGGGCTCAAGTGTACAATTCCTTGAGGTGACGTGTTCCTTAGTTAGATACTTCATATATCAGTGTATATGATTCGTTAAGTGTACCGGTATATAGATTCTTATAGTGCAGTCTTTCATATATGAAGTACCTACCGTTCCTTAAAGTTATCCCCTGGCCAGTTGTTGGTTTTAGTTCATCGCAGGCTCAGGTCCATAATGAAAAGGCCATATAGTGAATAACTTATAAATCTCGTCCGTTTGGTCATTACAGGGAAATCTCAGACCTCAGCCTTGAAGTATTGACCTCGCTACCCCTCGGTCAATACATCAAGGCCTCGGTCTGAAGTTTCCCTGTAATGACCTCACTGTCGGTTTATTAGTAGTATGTAGTATTAGTGGGACCTGTCCCATTGTTCTCTCTTGATTCACCGTAATGTGTTTATGCTCTAACTGAAAGACAGTAGTTGAAGTTCACGCGGGGTTTAGTTTGAATGTAACCCACCCAACGTAGGAAAGGTTGGCCACACCACCGGGGTCTACGTCTCCTACTCTTTTCGAACAGTGGTGTGGGTTCTTTTCCGTCCGACAAGAACAAGATAAGTGAAAGTGCTGTGAGACGGGACCTTCGGTCATTTCGTCCTTATCCGAAAAGACTAAAAAATCTAACCGTTTGCAGATGTCATTTCAGAGGCAGCACTTTCTTCTCATTTTTATTTTAAGTCTCAGTTATTTAAAGATCCTGAGTGTTGGTCCGGCCAGGGTTTGAACCCGCGAACTCTCGCTCAGCAGACCGGTGGAACGGGCGAGAAGGAGGTCACAACAACACGTTCTGTCTTCTATAGGCCTCTACTGCACATCTCTATCATGATACTATCTCTACCATTGCTTGAGTTGTGTATACGCAAGCAGCAAGTTCTTCATTTCGAGTGAAGAGCGAAGTACCCTGGGTATCAGAGGTTTTTCTCGCGTACGGTGGGAATTTTCGGGCCGAAGGCCGAAGCCAGAGGCGGTGATGAAGACTTGACAGAAACCGGAAACCGTGCTAGAAAAGTCTCTGGCACCCAGGGTAAGAGCGAAGCGTGCCGCGAGAGAATGTGCGAGCGAGATGGACGGGAGAAAGGAACCCTGGCAACGGATCGAACATGGTTTCTAGCAACGCTCAGTGAAGACCGATTTCTCTATCTGTGAGAGATTACGCTCTGCCGACTGTGTGGATGTTTTCAAAGGTTTAATTTAGAAGCCTTAAGCCCGCGCATTGGAACTGAAAACTTAACCGTCAAAGCAGAAGGTAGTGTGATGTAGAAGTTGCCAGTAAACTATCACGATAATAACCGAATTTGTAGTGTAACTAGAAGAAAAGTAATAATAAATAAAATAGTCGAAAATTTAATCGTATTTAAGTTTTCGAACCGATCTTGCAGTTGAAATAACACTGACAAATTTCATACTTGCGGGCGTTAAGGGCTGAAAAGTCATCATTACTAAACGTGTGGCCCCTGTTCAACAAGATTTTTTCTGGTATACTATAAACTGCATACTTTAACCATAAGTACTATCCATCCTTTGTTATATACGCACAAGCTACGAGGATGCCTCCTTCTACTGGGGCGCAATTTAATAACTTGTTATAATGAAATATTGGATCTTTCCCTGAGCGATCATTCGGAGTGTTAGCATGGATGTTTTCCAAGAGTAGAGCGGAAGCAATCAGGGATAGACTTTACCATAGCTGCTCAGAGATATAGTGCAATGTAGCACTAACATAAAAAAGCAAACAAACAAACAAACAACGACGAACACCAATAAAACTAAATTCAGATCGCCTTTTAAAAAAGAGCAGATTATTAATAACAGTTTTAGTTTTTTGTTCTTACAATCTTACATAACATAATTCGTTACATGTTTCCTGATGAAAACCAACCTTGCAGTGAAGCACTTAGTGCTTCACCAACTCTAGGTGGATACTACCATCATTTTAAAACTATTACCGTAAACTTCCTCTTATACGGCCCCCTCTAGTAATAGGCCCATGTAAAGAAAAAAAAAATCCGGTTGTAAGGCCCTCGGATATAAGCCCCAGTCTAGCTTGTACTCAGTCTTCGCGAAATTAAAAAATTAAACAGTTCAGACTTTTTTTGGAACACTAAAAACACTTCCACGAACAAACTTAACTACAGTGGTGAAGGAGGCAAAAATCAAGGTCTTATAACCTTCCTTCTAACTCCGAACTCCTCTGTAAGAACAAGGTCTGGATCCCAAGATTAGGAGTTGCGTTCTCCTAGCGTCTAACGCAGTAATGTGACTCTTCTTACTTATCTTTCTTACACCTTGCGGACCCTCGGCCTTTATAAGCATTCATCAGACAAAAGCCCAGTCTAACCTGGATTAAAACTTGTTCCCACGGCCTTTTTAGTCGAGTGAGAACGAGGTTAACTTGGACCGTGGTTAAATATTAGGGACTTTAAGATAGGTGACTACGGTTGCCTGGGACGGTTAGATAGATGTCACGTCACGCAAAACACGCGAGACCTTTTACCGTCGTCCTTCTGGGACGGGTGTGTTTTCGCCGGGTTTCTCGTCGTGAAGACAACGGTGAAACCGATAAGAGTTCATGCATACTTATTGTCACTTTTCTTCTAAAACTGAGTAGCCAATGGGTTAAATACGCGTTGGCTTGTGTTTACATTGATTTACCTATCGGTGAAATGAAAAAAAAAGCGAAAATGTCTGAGTTCATTCATAACTTAGCTCGCAGTCGCATGGCGACTGCTTGTTTTCTACCTAGTGTCTTCCGCCATGGCAGAGAAAAATTGCCGAAAAGAAAGGTAAGGCCCAGTTCAAACGTTAATCTTTTCATGTACCGAACTTAATACCTATTTAGGTCGACCCAAATGGTTCGAGGTTGATTCAGGCGTCGAACTTAAAGTGTAGTCGAACTCGATTCATTTTCACGATGTTCAATGGTCTAGAATGCTTTAAACAAGTGAAAATAAATTTTAGTAATTTGTGCTTTAGTTTCGGCGCATGAGAAGTTCGACGTTTCAACTGAGCCTAACAGTGATGATTGTAGCCCTTTTTTTTATAACTTAAAACTGTATTCTTGTCAAGAAAAGATTTCTTTATAACTCAAAAGGTGTTGGCTTAGGAAAGGAAAGTTCAAATAAAAACATCGACTACAGTTTTGAAAACTAGCTAGCTTTAATTTGTACCCTTATTCTTCTGATTGGTATTCTTCGTATAAAATAAGAAACTCTTCTTCAGTAATTGAGCCTTCTGCGAAAGAAATGACAAGCGAGTTTAGCACATGACTTCACCGTCCTCTGTTTTGTTGTCCGATCTTAAATTGAAAATTTTCGCGGCTTCTTACCGTCATGGCCCCAGGCCGCCCGTATACGCATCCAACCGTCCCAGCCTACCGTAGTGACCTATCTTAAAGTCCCTATTGGTTAAATATAAGCTAATATATACAAGAAGTGCGTTTGTTCATGAGATATGTAAATTTGAAGCGGATAATTTCTCAGAAATTTCTTGTTGGTTACAGTTTTCAATGCTGAGATATTAGGGTTGGATACTGAATCGATAATAACGCTGAACATGTTTTAATTAAAACAAGACGCTACGGAGCGTACACTTCGGCGTCGTGGTTGTGGAACTAATTAAGTGTAAATGCGGAGGAATAGTAAGAAATCAAATATGGTAAGAGTAAGGTGTTCATTTGTGAAATTATGGGATTTGTCAGGATATTCTGAAAAGAGTAACATCCAAGAGGCCTACTTGCCAAAAACTAGCATTTCGGGACAAATTGTCTCCGAGATATTAGCCCAGTTATGCTCTGATGATTCCCTACAAATCCTTCTAAAAAAACAATTCTCTATTTTTCTTAGTCACATCAGGCTTCAAAAACAGCATAGCAGTCTCATGTACTGATAAAGGTATGTAAGACATTGGTAAGGAGTCAATTACGTTGAGCATGGAATTGGCTAAAACTCAAAGTCACGAGTTCGAATGTTTTGAGGATAATTATTCACTGACTATCAGCACGCAGGGATGTCGGATTAACACAAGGAAGTACACCAACACAAACTTGACTTGAACTTTGAGTAAAACAAAGCAGCCTCTACCAATAATAACAAACTCTCACTTGAACTTCAGATATCTTACGGCTTCCGCGAACTTGTAAACACAATACCTGAAAATCTACCTTCGTCACACTTGACTAAACACAGCAGTCCAGCTCGTGGGAAAAAACCTAGTTCTTCAAAAGAACTCGCTTGGAACTTGTATACCGTTTGACATAAGGTTCTATAAAATACTAAACAGCAGGCGAATAGTAGTAGCTTTTCGACATATTTTATGATTTCAGTAACTGATGCAAATCTGCTGACTCATGCTGAAATGTAAACATGCCCTAATTAATTATTCATGGTAATCCAAAAACGTAGAGAACGTTCGAGAAAGTCACGCAACGCATGAAAGCAATTTTACTACGTAACACTCAACAAAGGCAAAACGCAACGCATGAAAGCAATTTTACTACGTAACACTCAACAAAGACAAAATGTCTTTTTGCAGCATTTTGTAACTTTAAATTCATCATAAAACAGTTCGAAAGCAGGGCTCACTCGTGAAATGTTTTTCAACACTCGAAGAGAAATTTCGTGTCTCTGCGCGGCCACGAAATATCCTCTATTTATTCCTCGAGTAATTAAAGACTAAACTCGAAGTGATCTCAAGATATCACGAAGTAGTCCGGTCTCATTTCGTGAAATAGTTGAAACAAGCCGAAAAGTCACGAACTTGCACACCCAATCTTGTCCCGAAACTAGTGCATCATTTCATAACTATTTTTCATATGCCAAACTACCTTGGGTCGCAGTAGCGCAATCGGCTAATCCCTCAACTTAGAGTCTCCTCTGATCTGACGGGTCACACAGTTGAGTCGGTTCAAACCCCGGGAGAGCCAAAATAATAATTCTTTCTTCTTCGAAAAAGTTAAAGAAGAATAAATCAAAGAAATCGAAGTGATCTCGAGATATCTCGAATTAATTCGGCTCTCACTTCGTCAAATAGCCGAATAAAACCGAAAACCTACAGACTTTGCATGCCCAATCTTGTCAAAAAATTGTAACTTTGATACATTCCTGAGCGTCGCGAAACCTTTACTTCGCGCTCCGCCGAAGTAATTAAAACATGCTAAACTATCTTGATACAACCGGCCTTGTTTTGGAGTCACTACTTGTGGCTGGTAGTCTACCTGGAGAAGATTCAGAAATGGATTAAAACTCCACAAAGACTGAATCTGTTGTTAGATCATTAATTCGGATCTCGAAGGATCTCTTCCAGGTCTTTTACAACGGCATCCATCGAGGGACGTTTTTCGGGATCACTTGCCCAGCAACGCTCCATAAGTTCCCAACAATTCTGAGGAAAAGTATCCAGCCTCTCCGGCGTCTTGTTGTCGACGGCGTTTAACATGAGCATCACCCAAGGAATACTATGTTTGTGCACGTTTTTCGGTTGGTTGCCTTTCCCCTCGCACACCCTCCATAACAACATGCCGAACGCATAAACGTCGACGGTTTTGTCGTACTGTTGTTTGATCATCTCTGGTGCCATATTTATAGGTGTCCCTACAAGCGAGTTAGAAGCGAGACCTTCTGGCTTGCAGAGGCCCATGTCTGTCAACTTTGCCCTGTTGGAATTATCCAACTGAAAAAAGAGCAAAATGAACAGGTGGTTAGTCCAACAACCCTGAATTATTCCACTTTCTTTATATGGCTACGTACAATAGTACGCGCGCTCTGATAGGCTGTTGAGCGGGCAAGATTTTCTTGTAATGACTGGGCATTATCAAAATTTTTTCCTGGCTCGGCGGCTGTTTTGAGTTGCCGAGTAAAAGCTACGAGCGTGAGGGCGAAAACAACAAAAAATACCGACAAGAAATATAACTATCTTTTTATAAACTGAAAGAAAAATTTGTGCATACCGATACTTATTTGAGCGACGGAGAGAGCCGCAGCGAGAACGAGTTTTTTATTTGTATTCTTTTTAAGAATAGCACCAAACAGGACATATACTAAATAGCTTATTAACCACGTCGATTCGGTCATTACAGTGAAATCTCAAAAACCGGGAGGTATATAATTTTACTGTATCTGCTTTTTTTTGACATTTTATTGGCCCACTCACCAAAACATTCTGCACTTTGACATCTCGATGGATCATCTCCGCTGCATGCAGATACTGTAAGGCTTGGGCGACGTCAAGGGCAATTTGAAGTCTTTCCCTCAAAGACGAGATGGTGGGCAGACCTTCTTGGAGATCACACTTCATTCGTTCCAAGACAATCGATACAGAAGAAGTGTTGACTTCCACGATGCTGCAAATTATGGGCAGAATGTTCGGATGTCGCAAAGACCTGCAAATAAATTAGAGGTATTACAAGACACGAGTGTCTAAAAAGTACGTCATCATCTTGGTGAGCTCTAACTAATTTTAAAATCAGGCAAATCTTACGTTTTCCTAACTGATAAATCGCATGGACTAAAAAAATTGCTCAGTGACAGAGAGATGGCGAGGAACGATTGTGGCCCGACCATTCGTTCTATGTCAAGCAGTGCATCGCATTTGATCAAATTTTCGCCACTAAGGAAACTTTTGTCGTGATTAAGTAGAAGGAGTAGGATAAGAAGTTGTAACATTTGCATTTCATATCTTGAGCTGAAAAAAGTGGGAAGCGGTTCCGTAGGGAGACTCCCAGCCCCCCTTCCCCATCTCATAGGTTCAGGAGGTTCACTTTTTTGTTAACAAACGATCTAAAACAAAGTGAATTAGCGATGCTATGCCTGTAATAGCGAGATCGTTCAATTTTGCGGCAGTTAAAAAGGTTTTAACCATTCGTTCTTGTTTTTAACCTATTTCGCGAGAAAATGAAGAGAACAAGAAGAGAGGCTGTCGAAACTGACATTTGTAGCGCAAAAATAGCTTTCGTGACATGAGATTTCACAATGACGTAGACAAAGTCCGAGGATATCTATAATATAAATGATGTAACTGCGTGGATTAAGGTGGAAGAACGTGCGAGTTTGTAATAGTCACTTAATTAAGGTACATTACAATGGGGACTTTTACTGTACATGTGATTAGTAACGGTAATAGGACTGACTGGAGTACAATTCAGGGAGTAATCGGGAAAGTAATTTCAAATCAGTTGAACTAACTCTCATCGAAACTCGAACGAGCACAATCAAGAAGATTATGCGCTAAAATGGTAAGTACCAGTGTGGCACACATCTTAAGACGGATTTGGGAAAAATGAAAACACAGTATGTGGCCGCGGTGGGTTTTGGTCATGTAAGTAGGCAAATATGACTTGCATGCACTATCTAACAGCCATTTATCTGGAAGAAGTCCTTGATCTGTTTGCTAAGAAGCACCTCACTTGGCACACTACTGAAAGATCATGATGATCAGCAGCAAACCCAGTGAACAATCAGATTTACACTTTCTTTCTGATAAATACAGAAAGATGGTAAATTTTAAGGTCGGTGAAGAAATGAGAGATGATGTGATCAACATGTCACTAGTTTGCGCCACAGACAAAACTAAACTCTGGTTAAGTCCGTCTGCGAAACAGCGGTGCAATCCCTGTTCTGGGCCCTCACATGTGTACCAGGATTTGAGTATGCGCCATGATCTATTACCAAAATTAACGAACGAAATCAGGGTTTCTGACGAAATGCATTATTTACAAATTACAACAACCATGATAAAGTCTGTTTTCTTCTCAACAATACTGATTCGCATGTGAGCAGCCTAACTACCAATTTCGTTTTTCAAGCGTTTAAAAGACGAACATAATAATACTAAGAACAATGATAATAATAATAATAATAATAACGAAGATTACCCCGAGTGGTTTTCTGAAGGGAAAACCTCCCTCATTCCGAAAGAAGGTGAGTTCCTGAGTGAAAATCAAAGAGCTATTACTTGTCTGAATAACATGTAAAAGTGGTTTACATCTTGCCTCCTGGCACCTATGGACCAACACCTTGAACATTATGGCCTGATGGAATTCCAGCAAAGAGGAGCGAAATCAGGGTGTTTTCGTACGATGGATAACTCGCTAATCGATACAGCAGTAATGCTGGATTGCCAAAGAGGCAAACGGGATTTAAGCATGACATGGATTGACGTGCGCAAAGCCTACGACTCCGTCGACCATGATTGGCTATGCGCAATGACTGACGTACACAGGCTTCCCATCTGGCTGAGCGAGGTAATACGCAAATTGTGTGCGAGCTGGAATACTAGAGTAGTAGCTACAACAAGGGCGAAAGACTTTCAGAAAAATAAGGTTCATGGGGGGACGATTTGTGTCCTAGATTGTTTACACTGTGTCTGAGCCCAGTAGCGTGCGCGCCTGCAGGCAACGGAGAGATACCGGTTATCCAAGCCTATAGGAGTCAAAGTCACCGACCTCCTGTATATCGACGACCTGAAGGTTTTTGCTGCCTCCGATAGCAAGCTGAACCGAGTGCTGAAGGAAACTAGAGGAGCGATGCAGGATATAGGCCTCCACTGGAATCAGAAAAAGTGCTCAGTGGTACACGTGAAGAGGGGAGCCCAAGTGCTAGACGAGTGTGGTATGAGGATGGACGAGACAACTACCATCACGGCTCTTGGGGAACGAAAACACTACAAATTCCTGGGGGTGCTAGAGAACGTTCAACAGGATGAACGGCTGGCCCTAGCGTGTGCGGCCAAAGAGTATCTACGCAGGATATCTATTATATGGTTCAGCCCCCTGTCTGATTGTAACCGTGTACAGGCAACTAATCAGTATGCACTCCCAGTGCTGCGGTACCTAATGTGGACACAGCATTGGACTCTATCAGAGTTATGAGATGTGGACAGAGCAGCTCGGAAGATCATAGTTGAGAACGGTGGGAAGCACCCAGCTAGCCTAACGTCTTTGTTATATCTACCGAGGGAGAAAGGGGGTAGAGGCCTGCGATCAGTCGAACACGAGTACAATATCACTAAAATCAAATCGCTACTGAAACTGTATCAGAATTCGGTCCAGACTGTGGAAGTAGTTAGAGAATTTGAAGAACACACCATGGGATCAGGCCACCACTCGCTTGTAAAGGAAGCAGCTAAGTACGCTGAAGAACTCAACATCACACTTCAGTTTGATATCCTAAATCTCGTGTGTGTTACAACGGAAGGAAAGGTGGTGACTACAGCAAGAGCTGGGAATCTGTTGAAGAAATCTCAAGAGATGCAGTTCTTGAAGATCGCTAAAGACAAAAAGTGGCAAGGAAAGTTATTCCGTATCAGAATGAGAGCCTAAGCAAAACTTTGCATGGTTTGGTTAAAAGGTTGGGCTAAATGCCCTACAGATACCATCGCGGGCATCTATCAACTGTATGAGCAGTTGTTACCTACGAAGCTCTAAAGGAGAAGACGCAAACCTCCACCGACGGCGAAGTCCTATGCAGGTTATGTGGGAAGGTAGCTGAGAGCTTTGCACATTTACTGGCTGGATTTTCCTCCCTGGCACAAACTAAGTCACCTATACAGGCATAATGAAGCTTTGAAGATTCTGTTTTTTGAGCTGCTGTGGGCGCATTTGTTAATAGAAGAGGTTCCACAATGATACTCACCGGTGATGCCAAAACCAGCCTACCAGAACACCACGAGTGAGCCGTTCTGGGATATTCCCATCTATGCAAAGCACAACGAAGTTAGAGCAAATCGGATCGACGCGCTACTTGTCAGCCACGAGAGGAAAGAAGTCTGCACAATTGAAATGAGCTGCCCATGGATTGAGAGTATCGCCATGAAAGATGAGGAAAAGACACTCAAGTATGGGCCCATGATGTGGGAGCTGAGGCAGAGATACAATGGTTACAGGCTTGAACAGTACAACGTAATAATTGACGTACCGGGTGGTTACTCTAAACACCTAGACAAGTCGGTGAGGAAGCTACTAGGAGCGAGAGCACGGAGCGTACTCGAGCAGATGCCGAAGTAGGTCACCTCAAACACTTCGAACATTGCTAGAACATTTAAGATAAATACTTAGTTAGAGCGCTAAGGACACCAGATTTTAGTTTTTTTCTCCAGAAATCCAGAAACACAAGTGTCGCAAAACCTGTATTTTACTGATGTTTTTACGTAGATTTTATAGAGTATAAGAGTTTGATATTATTCTAAATAGGCTTTTAGTAGAGATAACCACATTATGATGGCCTCGTGTAGGTTTATAAGAGATAATGAGAGTACAAAACCTGAATAATTTTTTAAATAGGCTTCTAGTAGAGATATTATATCATCATGTCTTTGCGTATGTTTTAAAGAGTATAAGAATTTAATAATATTCTAAATTGGCTTTTTAAGTAGAGAGATTCATATCATTATGTATATTAGGATTGAATTAGGTTTCGTACCGAACTTTTTTTACTTCTAATTGGTATAGCTCATCAAGTGGTGTAGTTTACGTTATGCGCCCTATACTACTCGTAATGTGTACAGCTTCCAAAGTTCTATACTGCGAGATAATAATAATAGCAACAAATTATACCATTCAATCATATTGGTATTTCCTTAACTCTATCTGTTTATTATTGTATTTCAATCGGTAACACCATGTATAGAAATGGTAATACTGAATAATCTTGTTGCTGTTGTTGATTGGCCTTTTAAAAAAGCCATTGTCAATTTGCCAATCAAGTTGAAAGGAAACTCAAAACGCACTTCCGGTAATACGTTTAGTACGTGACGTTGGGGCCCAGAACAAGACTATCGGCACTGCTTTGCCGATGTTACTAACCGAGGTTATTAAGTTACGTCTGCGACGCAGGCTACATGTCAAGAGCACGGGAAAAAGAAAAAACCTGAGCAGCCAAAAGGAATTGAACCTATGACCTTTCGTTCACCGGTCAGATGCTTTAACCACTGAGCTACGAAGAACTCTTTAAATAGTAACATTGCCATTGTCATTCTCAAATTTTAAAATATATAGATAAAGTAGCCTCTTTGCCAAATTGTGGGCGTCTGAGATCTTGCCTATTAACTGCGTTTAAAAGGAACTCACTATGGATTCAAATTGTCAATTCAAGTCAAGAATAAAAACTACAAGTAGTTAGAAACTAGGAGTGCGTCTGACAGGGTAAGGTTCTGGGAGAACTTCAGTTGAAAGCGAGGCACAAAACTGATACCAGTTTCCTGCAAGAAGAAAGCATCTCAAAAAAAATTTAAAGGACAGCCTAAGTGACGTCCAACCGAAGAATAGAGAGTAAAGATCGGTGAGAGACGTAATGAGGTCCGCGCCTTTTGGACGCACACAATGTGTACAGGAAAATCTTATGTCCTTCCTGGTGATATTCTATAAAAAAATATCAAAAATGTCTTACCTGGTGTTGTGCAATTCCAGGGTCAAATCCTTGAGTACTTCTTCTCTTGCAACTTTTACCACCTTCACTACACAAGGCTTTCCCTCAGGTGTTTTTATGTTCTTGCAAGCGTACACACTTCCTTGAGCACCATGGCCAATGAGGTCACCAATACTGGGTGAACCAAACTTGAACGTCTCCATAACACCATATGCCAGCATCTCTAAGCGGGCAAGATTTGGAGCAAATTCGAGAAGCTTTTCCCTCTGTTCGTCTTTGATGGTCTCTCCCCGCTGAAACAGGCCTTGAATTTTTTTGACTTCTGCAACAAACTCATCATGGCACATCGTAAAGTATTGGTTTAAGCTCTTGATGATTTCCTCAGACATCTTGGTTGGATCCACTTTCTCGAGAACTCCTTCAGCAACGTTCTTCTTCCATTCAGCGGATCCTACGTGGACGTTGCCCTTTATGGTGTCGATGATGGTCTCAATTGGTGAACACACGACGTCATAAATCCATGTGGCAAGTGATTTAATCAAACTAGACGCCACTCTTCCTCGTTTTGCAAAGGAGATCTCAGCTTCATACGAAGACAGAAGACTTCTACCTAAGGCTAGAGCTGCTGATGGGAATTCTTCTCCTGAGGCTATCTCTTCTTCAATTCGTTCAATGCGTTCTTTAATTTGGGCCACGAACTCGTCTCTTGAGCAAAACATCATGTTTAACTTTTCTTTAATTTCTCCTTGTAGCTTGTTGACCACCATTCTTTGTAGCTGGTCTTTACAGTGTGCAACGGCGGCTTTCTCAGAGACAAAACCATCACGTGGAATTTGGTATTCCGTCAGAGCGTACTCAAATTTTTCTGCTTCCTGAAGAATTTTCTCTCGAGCGTCATTGAAAACGTCAGATAACAACTCCTTAATTTCAAAAGATCTCTTCTCCAGACTACCTGTGATGTTATTGTGCACCTCCTGTTCCTCTCTAAGGAGAGTGTCTAGGGTCTTCATCATCAACGTCTGTCCCTTTTTCAGCAAATTGGCCTTCTTGATGAAAAAGTCCAAACACCTTGACAGGACACGGATAAGAACTTGGCATACCTTCTCAACTCTTTCACGGAACGACTCCTCCGCAAACGTCTTCAAGCTGTTTTGAAACCTTTCGAAGGCGTCGATGTATCCTTTAAACTCACCGGTTGGCGCGTTTGGGTTGTTCTTCTTCATCTCATGGTATCCCTGAAGTCTCCAGGCAGAGAGGCCGTGGAATCGGTCGTTTTCATCAATACACCTTATCGGGAAATAACCGTGCTGAACAAGGCGCTGGTACACCCGTGCTTTTTTCGTTTCCTGTGCTTTTTCTTCTCGTTCGAAAAGGCTTGCAGAAGCATCCTGGCCTGCCTCTTCGTCCTCGTCTGAAGACTCCGCATGATCTTCAGGCTCAAGCTTACTCACCACAAAGACAATTTGCAAATCAGGTCTGCTAGATATTACGTTGCTTAAAACTTCCCTGTCCTGCAAATGAAACATGACGCCTTAGCAATGAAATGAGTAATAAAGGAAGTACCCGAGCAAGTAACTTATTAGCTAAGTAAGTGAATGAGTGAGTGAGTGAATAAGCAAATAAAGAAAGTAAGTTAAAAGTTGCGTTCCTTTACCAATCTAAATCCAGATTTTGCTATCTAAAACTTCATTTATCGCTCTATAAGGACTAAACCAACCTTGGATTGCAGTCTGAACGATGATCGTTCAGATTGGTATCTCAATCTGGTTTCAGCTTTTTGTTCCATTTAAAGAAATTGCCTTTCAATTGTAGAAATAAGATCAGTGAGCACCGTAAAAACGACATTTTGTAACGTCTGCGCGGCAACGCCGATATCCCTGTTCTGGGCCCCAGTAGACAATACAAATAACGGAAATGCGTCTCGGATTTCCCTTCAACCTGATTGGCAAATTTACAATGGCTTTTTTAACAGGCCAATCATAGCGTATACTCAAATCCTGGTACGCAGATTGGGGCCCAGAACGAGGATTTCGGTGCTGTTTTCCAAGGCCCAGTTGTTCGAAGGCCGATTAGCGCTTAACCCAGGGTTAAATTTAACCCGGCTTTCTTCCTCTTTGTTCCAAAACATTTTCTGGGATAGTTTTCTCTGTTATTGTTAAGAGTATCCAATCATTAACCTGTTGACAGAAAGAATAAAACTGAATTTACTTTTTAAGCTTTCAAATCTGAATTCAAATTTCGCACTAACCGTGGGTTATCTTAACCCACCTTTGAACAACCCGGCCCAGAAGTTTAGACTGTGGTCCAGGCTAACGACATGCGTATCAATCACATCTCACAAATTCCTCTATAACGTCATGATTTCCTACCTGCTTCGTAAACAAGTTATGTCCATCGACCACGTAAATCACAAACACAAGAGGGTTTTTCAGTTGCCTTTTGACAAGACTATCCAGAGCTTCATTTTCGTTCCTTCCGGGGGAGTCTATGACGCTGACACCAGACTGTAAGAACTCGATGTTCAGCCCGGTCTCGACGATAGCCTCTACCTTGGTCGAGTCCTCCCGGTCTTTCTGGCTCAGCTCGATTATCTTTCGTGGGATTTTGTTCGTGCCTTTCAGTTCTATGTTCTGGAAAATAAAAACTCAAAGATAAAACAATCTTTACGAAGAGTATCCTCGCACCACTGAAGAAGTTCTTTGGGCTTCGCCACGCGTTTCCCTCCCCTTTGCCAGGCGCTCCTACCTTCGTCACCAGTTCCTCTCCCCTATGTTTCAATCATTTGCGTTCCTTCGTTCTTCACGCGTTTCTATCTCCTTCGTCGCGTTCCTTGGGGGGAGGAACGCGTGACGAAGTACAGTCGAACATATATTAAGTGGCACCGTATTAAGCGGTCACCCTCTATTAAGTGGTCAGTTTTCAAAGTCCCGAAAACTACTTCCCTTTATGTACTGTAATTTTGACCTCTATTAAGCGAACACCTCCATTAAGCGGTCGCGGTCACCATTTGCGAAGTCCCAAACGGACTTTTTCTATTGCCTTGACCTGTATTAAACGGTCACACGGTGTCAATTACTTGTTCATACAGTTTCAAATAATTTAACGCACGAGGTACACCAATTGATTTCTTTGTTTATTTTCGCAACATTTTAACGACGCCGGAAATGAATGTTTCCATTTGAAGTCAAACGTCTGATCTGACCAGCACTGGAGATCGAATTCTTTGAACTGTATTTCTTGCAACTTGTATTAGGCGGTCACTTAGCCATTCCCCTAAAGTGACCGCGACTGTACTAAAAGAGGCTACATGAAGATGGGAAAAGGGGAAGTAGGAGCCCTTTTCATCAGTATAATTCCTTTCTGGGTCATATTTTGTTTAGTTTAGGTCCTGTACTTTGAGGACTAAGGACTGAGTACCTCAAAAACAATTCTCTATCCTGAGAAACATACCTGGGTGTATAGCTTACATATAGAAGGTCTCCCCACCCCTCCCCCATCCTCGAATATAAAATCTCATTTTTTTTTCTGACAATAATCAAACGCAAATTAGTTTTACAATTTACAATAAAAGATTCAGTTGAGAGGTTACTCTTCTCATCAGTCTGCAATGCTACCAACCAGTCTGCAATGCTACCTGGAAATAAACAGTCTTGGAAGTCTTTCGCCTTTGCCAGGCTCTCGGTCAGTGTAGATGAGCGAAAAAAGCGAACGAGGAGGATGTCACTAAAACGGGAAGGGGGAGCGGGGAACGGGGAACGGAAGTCTGGAAACGAGTAGTCAGCGGTAACCTCCTCAAAAATCCAAAATAGCTGATAAACTGACAGAGAGGTAAGCTGAGATCAGGCCCAATTTTAGCAGTTCTCATACATTCTCTCTCATGTCATCACGCTAAAACTGGGCCTGATAAAAACTCTCACTGCGGCCAGATTTTGGCCGCAACGCTGAATGGCAATTAGAACAACGCCACAGAATCTGATTGGCTGTTAGAGTCAACGGAAGTTGAAATTGCTTATTGGGCTAATTTGAAAAAAATAGCTCATATGTCAGTGGTTTGAGCGTATGTATCTCTGTGGCTTTGTGTGTTCGGATTTCTGTAGCAGGAGCCAATAAGGTTAAAGTTACTATGAGTTAATGCGTAGGAACCAATGAGTTTTTGGCATCTAACGTGACATTCACTCGGCTTAAGGTCAAACAAGGTCACTTTGAGACCGCCATCTTGATTCTTTTCGTCTTTTATTACGGCTAAAGGTGTTTAGAAGCATAACATTGACATATCTTTATGATTCAAACGCTGAGTACAGTGATGGAGTTGTTTAACGGTCCATATTTTAGGGTAGGTGCTGCTTCAAGACATTTCTGACCTAATTCGGCTATCGCGAACGGTGCAACGCACGTATTTTATAATTTATGAGTTCTGTTTCACATGCTTCAAGGTAGAGTATGAATTAAAGAACATATATAATTCAAAGTTCCTCCAATGAAACTATAATTGAAATTTAGACCTGGACTTTAATTCTGGAGTATGCAGCCTATAAATTGTGGTTTTACAAGTTTGAAAGGCAAGGCGAGTATTGTTAATCCTGTAAACAAACTTTATTCTCTCGCTTACAAAGTTCAACAGACATTTTTCGTACAAGCGAAAAAAAAAAACATGAATTAGGTGAACAACATGAAACACACTTGCTGCTTAAGAGTCATTATAGTTATTGAAACGTATTTTATTCAGTAAAGATGCGTAATTTAAGTAGAAACGGTAACGTCAGGGAATTAAACGGGAAGAACCTAGTTGACAAAATAATTACACATCGTTTTATTAAGTGGAATAACATGATATTAGTAGAAATATATTTCGTCAGTTTGATGATTTTCTTGGAATCAAATAAATGCTAGGCATAATTTAAGCAGAATTAAGCATAGTTAAGCATAATTTAATTGCAGATATTGTAAAACCGAGGTGATTTCGTAAAATCGTTTCACAGGCGGCCCAGACGTAGTGTGTGTCCATATATTAATGTTCACATGGACAAATTAATGCGATGAGTCGTCGAAACTCCCATGATCATGAACTAAAATAGTCCAAAAGTCAAAATATAACAAAACAAAGCTGTGACACCTTTAACTGAACGTATCCTTGTCATTCCTGGCCGGCTAAAGTGGCATTTTGTTGAGTTTTGCAATTGTAGGTACTATCCACTAAAGAAGAATTAAAGGCTGGCTACAAAACAAACGGACCATCTCCACGCGAAGCGCTATAAATTCGAGAATAATCGACGAATCCGCTCCAAATTGCCATCGGCTAATCTGCAGGTAACGTGTGCTCCTGCTTCTTGCTCGCTGGCTCCACAAAACCCATCGCAACTGCACAATAATCGCTCGCTCATCAAGAAACACTGTTGACCTTTACGCTTCTGTATGACCGCAAACTACCAGGTTTAATACGCGCCGTAGATATTCAAGCTTAGCGACCGCGTCCGCGCAACAATGCAACACTTGCTATGGGAGGGATGGTACTATTGCTTCTAGGTCAATCAGGTGAACACTGAGCGAGGGTCCGCTGCGTTAGTTTTGACCAGAAAGCAAAAGGCGATCGCGCGACCGTTCGTAAGTTTTCAACAGGGTGGCCCTAGTTTTCAAGTTCGCGTTCGTTGCGTTCGCTGTCACAGCTGCTGTCACATTGTTCGTCCAGCCGCTAGCCTGAGATCATGCCCTCTCCCTATTAGCCCTTTACGTCTCTCACGGGAAGAGGGCATGATACACTTCTTTGACGGATCACTTGTAAAAAAGCCAGAATCTGGACTTTTTTCTGATTGGGTAGGAAACAATATGGATGATTTGCGCTGTTCCGACTGGCCAAAATGCCGCCATCCGTTAGTTGTTGTTGATTTCAGTCTGCATTTTTGCTTGCGTAATGAGCACTGAATACACACGCGTGTTCGTTATGAAATTTCTGCCGGCTGCTCAGTTTTCTTAAATTTGAAGAATGCCTAAACAGAAGTTTCATCCATTGAAATATTTTCCATCTCATCGTATACTAAAACAGTTTCAGTCAAAACTTCACGGATTATTTGAATGCAATTTGATACCGGCTACAAGTTACAGAAGCGACAAACGGGTTCACTTTTCAAATATATAATCAATTCATGAATGGAATCTTGACCTGGTTTGACTGTAATTCCTCCTTCAGAAATCATGCTGCGAATTATTCTGAGCGATCTTCGCTTTAGCAACACCTTTCAGTTTGTGAAATATGGTGCTTCAGCCTAATTTTTTTTTTCACTGCTTTCGGCAAAGAACGAAGTCAACGAGCTTTAACCAGTAAATTCTTTATTATTTGTAGCTGTTAAATAAAGGTACGGCAGCTCCAGCTAGGAGTATTTCATCACAAAAACAACATATTAAAAATTTTTTTTTGAGGAAGCACCATCTGAACATGGACGCACTTAAAAATTTTCTTTTCCCTGAAATTGATTTCAAAAGAGACATTATTCGCGCCAAAATTTGATTCCCGAATGGCAAACGCTTATTGGCTAATAACATGACAGGTCAAGTACACGTTAGATTATGTAAATTAGGAGACGGTTGACTGCTTGTTAAATAAATGTATCAGGCGTTAATTTTTTTCCCTCTCAAGCCAAAGAAGCAAAAAAAAAAAAAATTCGTCTGATCTCAGGTTATCCAGCCGCTTGCATGGGTTCTTGACTCTACTGGACCTATTTGTTTGGATTAATTAAATAAACAATTCTTTCCAAAACTTCGTCTTACTCCACAAAATGTTGTCCAAAATGGTGAGGGAGGGAGAGGATTTTCCTCCTAGGAAAAAGGAAAAATCTGGCCTCGGCTATGCAACTGAATAGAATCGAGAATAGAAAATACAGCTGAAGATATGGTAAAGTAAAATTTATGTGCGCGATATCTTTTTTTATAATTATTATTTTCAAAACTCAGGGGCACACAACGACGATTTCCCCCTAAATGCATTGAAAACACTTTAAAGGCTGTCCAGCGTAGTTTAGATCTCTAAAAATGCATTCTAAGCGGCGCTAATACATAGATTTAGTCAGGAGGGCTAAAAGCGAAGCTCTCGATAGTATTTATAGTTTGCCCATACTAAGGGCCTGTTTACATGGAGGTGGGGGACCCCAGATAGGTGAGGTAACATGCGGCGGGTCACCCCACCTATCATGTAAACGTGATCAAATTAAAATGAGAGATTATGTGGACAGGCGGGTTACCCAACAGAGCGGGTTACCTCACCTTCCTGGGGTCCCACACCTCCATGTAAACAGGCCCTAAATATAAAATCGTGTAATGCTACGCGGAAAAGGCAACTACTAGTTGCCTTTTCCGCGTAGCATTCTAGACAAGGGCACCCAACGACGGTTTCCTCAAATACATTGAAAACACTTTTTTAGTCATAACCAGGGGGGGAGGGGGGGGAAGGTGTCTCCAAGGAAATCTGTGGTACAGTCCGCCTGCCAGTATGACGTCACGTCTCGCGACAGTAACTTTCAAAATGGCGAGCAAAGTGTCCATCGAAGAGACGGATGAAAATTTCGATTTTATCATGGAAATACTGTTTCGATTTCTTGGATTTGGAGATTTTAAGGTTTCTATTGTCATAGAATACTAGACTTAGGTACTTTTTTGGAATGCAATGTCTAGTGGTGTAATGAATTTTAAAGATTTCTTTCTATCGTTGAGCAAATTTTACGGGCAATCATACCGACTGATAACACTTTTGAGGACCAGTGCACACCAACATTGAGAAGTTTAGACACAGCAATAGGAGGTTTATCAAAGGATGTACTATACTTTACATTGTGCGTATTTTCAGCTCTTCAGAGCTAGTGGAACCCCATATCATTCCTCTCAAAGTTCGCTTAGCTGTAGCGTTGAAAGACGAAGCTAAATGACAGGTAATTGTGAGAGACTGTGAGCATTGAATCTTGTTACTTTACCGCATTTTAATACTGTATTGGGCATAAACCTGTAATTCTGTAATTATATCCCGAAAACCAATAAAGGGGTTCGTTTAATTACTTTTGGGGGGCAAACCCAGTGGATATTTTAGGGTAATAATATTGATGATTAAGACGACGTACAAAAGGCAAGTTTAACTTTCGCCAGTGGGTCACTGGTGGGTGTTGGGTGTAAATTAGTACTAACAGCTTGTGGTGTACTGTGTGTTAATGTTTGTCATAATGTCAACTGACATTGAAAAAATTTCAGCTGTTTCAGAGGAGGGACATGTCTTGAAAGCTTATGGTTTTTTTCTGGTCGTAAGCTTGGCCAGTATGCAGATCAAGAGCTTTTGAAATTCCTTTTCCAAAATAAAACTCTACACTTAAGCTTAAATATATACTGATCCAAGTGTATGACCAGCAGGGTCAGCAAAAGTAGTGTTAAAAAGACTCAGCAGAGAAAAAAAAGGTACAAAGAAACAGAAAACAGCGTCGCCGGGAGTCGAACCCGGTTTATCTGCACGTTCAAGCAACTCCTTGACCACTGCACCACGGTGACACACATAATTTGAAAAATTAATTCTGTCATATCAAAACAGTATTTCTCTGCCATAGACGCTGTTTGAAGCTGGTGGAACTTTATTTATCATGAATTCAAATATACATTTGAGGAAAATTAGCTTAAGCGCGTATTTCAAAGCGATTTCGCATTATTTCGGGTTCAACAGGCCGACTCGATGTACATAATCGATCGAACTAGCTTTACTGAATAAGTTTGGTGGAGAATTAGGAGATCAACAGAGGCCCACACTCGAAAGGAAGATATGAAGTTAGGCCCGTTAAATTAGCAAAAGAATAGATGAAATATAAACATGTGTGGTCTTTGAACGGAACCTCCTATTATGGAGACTATACCTTGCCTATTTTAGAGAAAAAAAAAAGATTTAAGTTTTGATGACCTTGCTGGTCCCGTGAAATAGATGGCGATCCCGCAACACGGCCCGCAAAACAAATTAACAAAATCATACGATCACGGACACAAGATATCAAAACGGTTTACACAAACAGATTATAGCAACACCAAAGCTCACACACATTCGATCAAAATAATCGATATATAGCGATATCTGCTAGCTTCTTAGCTTTTCCTCGACCTCGCTAGTCCAAATAACTGTCGTATCCTTTGATAATTTGCACAAGAAATGCATTCTAAGCGACGCTTCATTTTGCTTATACGTCAGTTGAGCATGCAGTTAAAACTAGTTTAAGTAAATTTCGTTTCGTCTTTCCAAAGAGGCAGATAATATTTACCTGGATGTATGAAAAAAATATTTTCTTAGACGGTTGTTTCTAGAAAATTCGCAAATTGCAAGTGCCTGCACTTACGGGACTAAATGCACTTGAGAACTCGTTTGGTCTGTTTTGGGATAATTTTACATCCTTTGAAAAAGTTCGCGATATATTTCCCCAAGATTTTTAAAGATTTGTGTACTGAAAAAATCGGGGAAAATTGTCAAGGGAAATAGGCAACAGAAAAGGCACCAGAAAAATAGAAATTTCAGTATTTTAAAACTGATCGACGCCGCCTAGCCAAAATATTAAAACGAGAACATCGTGTCGCCGTCTTTTCGAAAACTTTTTACCTTCTACGCAACAGAAAAAAAACCTTCAAGATCTCCTTCAATCTCGCAAGAAGTTAAAGGTGACCGTGTTGACTGTTTTATTTTTAGTTTGAGAAAAAAAGATAAAACAATAAAAGCTATTTTCTAAGTCAGCGAATCTGCATTTTTCCCGCGTCTAAAACATAGGCACGTTTAACGTGCATGAGCTATTTTGAATGCTTCAGTGTAATTGTACCAAGAATTACGAATCTACCTTTTTCGCCCTAAATATAGACTGTTTTTTGGTGCGAAATTGGGTGTTGCTGTAAATGAATGAAAACGCGAAACGCTCAGCTGAATCGATTCTCATGCCATATATTCACTTTCCTCTGTCTTTCCTTGATACATCTGGTGCAAGTTAAGCAAATTGTTACAGTACCATAAATATATCAACTTACCAAACGTTGATTAGAAGAAAAACTCGAAGGTTTCTTCGGAGTTTCTTAAGAAAATGTGGTAGGTGGTTGTGTCATCATAAGGTTTTCACGTGCGATTCTATTCAACGAAACAGTCTTCAACTCTGACTGGTTAATTCCTCATGTTTCAAAAGCTATTGCTTCTTAAAAGACAAGAGTCTTTACTTAAGGCATTGGTTACAAAACGAAACAGGTCTTCATACGTTCAAGTTACCATTATTGCTGTCAAAACCCAATATGCATGAGATGTACAGTGACACAGCTGGCACGGGAAAGTCTTGGACTTTGCCCCCCTCTCGTGGTTCGTAGGTGAGGGAATTCGAGTTATCACACTGTAATCTAAACAGGATTACAAAAATAACTCATGCACACAATTTGCACGTGAAGATGTTGGAGTGGACTTGCCCCTTTTACAATTTGTACGTGAAAGAACGCATGTTGTTTACGAGATTACTTTCCTCAAACGATTTTAACAAATCACCTCCTTTTCTAACATTTGCAATAAAATTATGCATCATTCAACGTTAAGAACGATACCCTAACATCATTACTTTACTTCCGACAGAATCGTCAAATTGCCGAAATACTGATTTCTACTCATCTTATATTATTCCACTCGATGAAACAATCTCTAATTATTTCGTCAACTGGCTACTTCCAAGTCTATTTTCTAACGCAATAGTTACGCATCTTTACTTAACCACTGGGTAAATTAAACATGTTTTTTTATGACAGCAAACATGTATCAGATATGGTGGCACCTAAGTTCCCGGAACGTGAATTTAAAGGATTGTTGAACTTTGTACGAGAGAGAATAAAGCATGTTTGCTTTAAAAAAATCAGCTCTTGTTCAAACTTCTAAAAACACAATTACGCCGCATACTTCCAAGTTAAAGTCAATATCTAAATACCAATCTTTAAAGTTTCATTTAAAAAATGATTTTTTATACTTCACTTTGAAGCAGGTGAAACATAATTCACGTACGTTGTGCCGTTTGCGATAGCCGAATTAGATCATAAATGTCTTGAACCAGCAGCCACACTAAAATATGAACCCTTAAACAGCTGCATCACTGTACTCAGCGTTTGAATCATGAAGATATTTAAATGTTATACTTAAGCCGTAATAAAAGACGACAAACTTGTGAAGAACCAAAATGGCGATCTCAAAGTGCCCATGTTTAACCTTTAGCGCAGCAATGTCATGTTTAGATACCAAAATCTCATTGGTTCCAAGCATAGTGCCTCATGGTACCTTCAACCTTATTGGCCCCTGCAACACACATCCAAACAGACAAAGCCACAAAGATACATACGCTTAGACCACTGACATATGAGCTATTTTTTTTTTTTTTGTAGAAGGTTTGTATCAGGCTCTCTTTTCGTTCCGCATTTCCCGCCGGAATGTTATTTACAAAGTGAAACGAAAATAGAGCCTGATCTCAGGTTAACAGAGAGGAGTCAACATTAACAACACTTAACACCGTTATTTTGTTCTAACTACCTGCTGGAATGAGGTGTTTAAATTAACGTGGAGGCAATAACTTCATTACATTCTTTACCTTTGTGCGTTTTACTAAACACATCCGTAGCAAACAAACTATGCTCCAACACAACGCTGCACAACAGCAGTTGAAAGAAGCTAGTCTCTCAAAGCACAGCCATATTTGGAACTCAAGCGAATCTATACTAAGCCTAGCCGACAAATCAATGAACTAATTTTGCTTGACCCGTTTCGTAGGGTTTTGGCCTAAATACATGCTGATCGATAACGAGATCGAAGCAGCCAGGTGTATTGCCTCAACAGTAAAAACATTTATTTATTTTATTTTATTTGCCACACTAATTACAAAAAATATAGGAAAAGAAGAAGAAGAAAAAAAAAAGAAGTGGCGAGGAGACCTAACAGAAACTATAGGAGCTTATGAGAGGTTAGGCCTCCTCGAACTATGAGCTAGAGCTGTTTCACATCAATTGAAGAGAAGAAGGCGAAAAGTCGAAGATGGAAAGATTTATAAACTGTTTTCATACTTACTCAATAATTTAATCTTCAGTTTTTTCTTAAAAGAGGAGAGGGATTGAGAGTTGATGATCTTGTTGTCAAGTGAATTAAAAAACTTAGGCCCTTGAAAAAAGGGCGAGAACTTCTTCGTGTTTGTACGACAATACGGTTTTATTTAGGTAGTGGAACTCCTTCCTAGCGTTTTTTCACGCCCAAATTAAAACACGATGGTGATGAGATACAAATATAAGTCTAATAATATCACAATGGCAAACCTGTGATGACAAGTAAATGGAAATTGCATTATTAAAAAAGATACGTGTTTGTAATATGGATCAAGTTATTGCCTCAATAAAGGGCATCTTTAAACATATTAACAGGTAATGTGGCAGGAATATCAATCATACCTAAATCTTAAAGAGTCAGTTATTTCAACCAAATGGCTATGCTGTAGTTTTATTTTAACCGTGGTTTAATTTGTTTCCCCTTTTTTGGGGGGTATGGTAATATGAAATTTATGATTATGAGTTCAAAACAAAGGGAATAAAATTAAAACTTAGGATAAAGTGAACCACAATAGCTACAGTATTAAGTGTTGCAAAGCATACATGGGGAAGTACTTAGGTTGGAAGGTACTTTCTAAAGGCTAGCTGTTAAAATATGCGAAGTATATTCCTCTGTTTAGCCCTCTGCGTGTTTTTTTCCCAGGGGGATTCCTTTAATGTTGTTGAAGAGGGGGGCTCCGCTTCTCTTTAATCAACATTACTTTACACAGGTTGGCAGCTTATAAGACGGTGGTTAGACAAGCCTTGAAGAAAGCTGCCTGTAGTTTAGAAAATAAAGAGTCTTAGGTCTCAGACAAGTGGTGGGTGCAAAAGATTAGAGTGCCAAAACTCTTTCAGTAAATACAACTGTCTGTGTATAGTGGCCACATTACACCTACTCAATGCTTTATGTAACATAACACAACAGATCTTGCTACCCGTTTTCCTTGATTTCATTTCCCCTTCTGGGGCCGGGCCTGTTTTCCTTAAACACATTTTATAGGGGTTTGTTAAAAAGGGGCAAGGAGCTTAATTCATTTAGTGAAACACAGTATCAAATTAATTGACAGTACCCCGGGGTGAAAGGGGTACTCAATGAACTTTTACACAGTCATGGATATGTATAAAAGCCATATACAGTCGCACCTCCCGTAAGCGGCCACCCAAAATGCAAAGACTGAGTGGTCGCTTACGGAATTTTAAGAAATCCTTTTTGTTGGTGTTCTAATTCAAGTAATGATGACATAATTTCTTATAGGCCAGGTCTAAAAATGGTTGTGAAAATGACTTTTCTTGGTTTGAAATAGAGTCAGGATTTGGAGAACCGGGCGGCATACCCCCACCAAGAATTCCCAGGAGTAACCCTCCCAACTGGGAACTGGTACGGTACCCCTTTTGTATACCTTCTACTCACAAATGGTACATCTTTCACAATACCTAATTTAGAAAACTACATACCCTTTTAACTGCTGTAAATTCATGGCTAAAACAGGAAGTTTTCTTGTCTCTTCGACATCCATAAAATGCGTCTGTTATCTTCGTTTGGTCCTTTTATTAGACCGAAATGACAGATGTCTCTACCCTTTCATATACCTGAAGCCTGAAAAGGGTACCCCTTTTGGATGGAGCCTCTCTGTAAAGGCCATTATAGGGAGTACCTCTCCTCCCCCACCCCGAACAGTACTTGATACAGTGATATTGTATGAATTGTACCAAGTTTGATGCACATGAAGAGGTACTTTGATTATGTTACGACAATTTTCACATTTTGTCAGAAGGTAGGGAGGGGTCTGGGATCTCATTCCTTAGGGCGATTTAACTGAGGATTTGCAGTGAGTGAGAAACTTGCATGCAATGCAATCCAATGATTTTGATGCAGGAAAGGGTCATCAGGGGTATTTTGCAGAACACCGAGTGATTCTGAAGTTTAGTGATTAAGGTTTGAAAACTGAGTGAATCAGGTCCCATTTAGGGGCATTATACTGGGCAAACCGACCTGAAACTGAAATTGTTTCTGCATCACAAAATAAACTGAAATTATTTCATTTTCATGTAGTATCAGTTAATCACTTCAATATCGTAAATGCTTGCAGTGAAGTAGATCTAATAATATCAAAAGCAGAACCAGATTTTTTACAGTCGAAGCATGTCAAGCGTTCCTGTCGCTAGTGGACTAATAAATAGAGGAGTTCATGCTCATAGTTGCATCATGGGTGATCAGGGCAAGATGGCGGGAAATTCAAAGATTTGTATTAGAATTCAAAGACAGCTAATTCTTCCTGAATTCATATATTTGATGCTTTCTTTTTGAAAAGAGTAACTTATGAGTTCAAAGAAATAATACACTAAATCTAGAGTGCAAAGAAGTCCGTGATCAGTTTTTAGAAAACCTCAATATTTCCATATATTTTCTGCAATTTTGACATTGTCGAATTACAGAAAATGTATGAAAAAATCAAGGTTTTCTGAAAAACTGATCACGGTCTTCTTCGTAAGCTGGCTTTGAATTCTAATACAAATCTTCTAATTTCCCGCATCTTGCCTTGATTACACATGATGCAACTATGAGCTCTAACTCCTCTATTCATGAATGGAAAAATGATTCGGTTTGTCGATTCAATAATCCATTCATAACATGAATAATATAATCCAACAGTCAAATTGGACCTGGATTCAATAATTAAATTTTGATTTGGTTTATGAACAAAATCTACCTGTTCTTTATTCTTGTCTGTTGTGATCAATCGTATCTGCTTCCCTTTTCCTACCGCCGCCGTGGTAGCGTTTTTCAATGCCTTTAATCAAAATAACAGCTAGAATAGACAGACCGCAAACGCAAAGAAACTGACAAAGGCCAGGTTCGAAATCCACCAATCACGGCACATACACTGACCTCAGTTTCACCATCGTGTTTTCTAAGCGGTCAGGTCTGTTACACTGATTACTGGCAGCAAAATGGCGTACATGTAACAGTTTGTTTGGGTTTAAACTTCAGAACTCGCCTGCACTCGACTCTTAGAAAAAAAGAAGAGTCAAAAACGAAAATTCTGAGGTCGACTTGTGGAAAGTGTAGGTTTTGAAAAAATAATAATCGAATCAACATTCGATTATTGAATAGAGGATGAATATGAATATTGGATTGTTCATTTTATGAATGGATTATTGAGTCAACAAACGAAATCATTTTTCCATTAATGAATTTATTCGCTCGTTAGCGACGGGAACGCTTGACCTGCTTTGACTGTTTTCAAAATTTGGTGACAGTTTGATCAATAACATTAAACGGTCTCCGCTTTCTTTGCTGGCTCCGCTGTCTTTGCTGGCTTGCCTAAGTATCTTGCCCACTATCTCGAGAACGTGCAAGAAAGGGCCCTTTCCATCATTTGGCCTGGTATTTCGTATGAAACAGCACTTGACAAAGCTGCATTATCCACTCTTTCTGACCGTCGGGCAGTCTCGTGTATTAAATTTATAGGTAAGGTTCGGCCAGGTAACCCGTTATACCCACTAATACACAACAGAGTGGTACCTACATCTACCAGTGTGTGTCTAAGATCAGGGAGTTTTAGTAGGCCCGTGGCCACAAGGACAGAACGTTTCTAGAATTTTGTTAGTGTTAAATATTAATCTTGTCAATAAATGTAGCGTATTAGTATATATATATCACAGCTTGTAAGGTATCGTACAATTCAGTCTTCCGACTGCAAAAGGGACAATAAACCAGTGATATGATTTGATTTGATTCAATCTCTATCAAAAGAAAAAGGAAACGCCTGTACGCAGGCTACTTGGATGCCTCTATCTGTGTTATCTATCACGGAAAAGTAGTTCATTGGTTTGTAGGCTAGACTCAGTGTTGATTCGCTTCAGTTCCAACATATTACCGGTATAAAGGTTTTACTAGGGTATCTAAAAGATAGTAATGCTGCGGCACATTCTGTTGATACTGGCATTAGTTAGGCAGTGAGACGTAAAAGAATCGAAAATGACATTGAATGTCCTATTTACATGTTGGAAAGTACTAGAATAATTACTATCAGTCAGTATAAAGAACTCGTGGGAACGTTGTTTAGAAAATGATCAAGTGGTTATCAACTCTGGTTTTCCCACTGTAAATTGTAGGAAATGATAGAAATTCAGATTGTTTATCCATATATTTAATATAGGGTGTACTATCTTTTCTCTGGAAACATGATACTTTTCATGCTGTTTATTGCACTTTATTAAGTAACAGTTATTTAGCTATATATTTATAGAAAACAACAACACAATAAACAGAAAAAAAAGAAAGAAGGAAAAAAAGAGTTAGGTAGGACCCGAACCCGGCACCATCGGCTCGACGCGACTACACCTAACCACTACACCACTGAGACTGATTACGTCATGTTGGGAAAAGTCTTTAATGTAATTCCTTTTCCGTGAAACTTCCGCCGGCAAGATGATCGCCAGCCGCATTAATCGAGCGATTAACAGCAAAAAAACAATGTAAACGCATATTCCATGGCAATGAATGAATGAAAGAACATAATTATGCTTTTCAAAACACCGATACACCTCCTCGTCTGCAACGTAGGACACAAAACATATGTTTTGTTATCTCGATTTCCGCTGCTATTTTGAAGCGAATGGTCAAAATCACATCCATTTTCGGCTCATACAGGTTCTTAAGAATAGCATGGCATGACATTTTCTCACTTTCACATCACCTTCTAGCAAGCTGGAATTTGTATATCCCCCGTGTTGCGGAGTCGAAGAGCAAATACTCATCTTCTCGTCAGGTTTAACACCTGGACGAGTCACAGGCTCTTGAATTGAAATCCACTCCCCAAGTTAACCATCGTACTCATCTGAAAGACTCCTGTGTGTCTTAAATTTGGTAAGACCTCGAACCGTGCTGTAGAAAATTTGCTACAAAGAAAACTCTGAGTCTGGGCAGCGAACGATGCGAACTTCCCCGTGTTTTTAATTGAGTTGTTCGTGGCGCAATGCACTCTGGTTAAATGCAATGCATTGTGGTAAAAAGTGTGGTTAAATGCAATGCATTGTGGTAAAAAGTGATGAATTCGAGAATTCGTCGCCCCTTGTATATTTTCTTAAAATTCTGATTATGTTGCTGCTCGCTCCCTTCGGTCGCTCCGCAGCAATAAGAACCTATAAGAAAGTTCAGCCTGAAATTTTCCAAAATATTAAGAACATGCTAACAGCACACCCGAGGCTCAGAGAGGACCAACTTATTTTTCACTGCCTTTACTTTTCTAAACCCAGAAAGTCTGAAGATCTCTGAATTTAATGCATAATATCATAGGTGACGAATTGCTCCTTAAAGGGCGCGATCACTGTTATGCGCATGCGCGCCGTTTGTCTCTTCAGAATAAATTTGTCGGGTCGACACTAAATTCGAAATCGCCATTACTGGTACAATCATTGAAAATCCTTCGTTTTATTCCGACATCCGTCGCTTTGGCTGAACTAGTTATACTTCGGTAGTGGTGATTAACGTGCGGTTGTGTTATTTGACTGGGTACGTTTTAAGAAGACGCAAAAAATAATGTTTTGATCATGGAGGTTCAGAAGAGCGTCGTGGCCGTCCAGCAATAGGACGTTCTCAAGAGTCTTTGGAGATAGAGAAGCTTAGCCGATCGATCTGGTATGGTTCTAGGAGTAGTGTGTGGCTTACGAAAAGAATACACGACACTTGGAAAGTGGTTAAAGGCATGAGTTCGTTCAACTTTGATTTGATTTATGACTGCGACCTGTAGTTATACCGCAACAAGCCGCGCGATCTTCACCGATCTGGTATACTTGAAATGTTCCCTGTATCTTTGCTTTACGATCGTATATGTTTAAGAATTTATGTTTTTAAAATATATTATTGCCTGAATATTCTGTTTATAATCTAGTTTCTTTATGTGTTCTACTCGATAACATTTGTTTTGCGGAACACTGACCCGATGCAACACGAATTAATTTGTTCATTTGCTGACAAGCAATTGAAATTTATGCTCAGGCGGTCAGGCGCTATTTGTAGGTATTTCTGGGTTTATATAAGGCGATTTGAGAGAACAGTAACAAAATGTTTGTTTACAAATTTTGTTTGCCGACCGGTGACTGCTTTGTTAGCGTGGATACGACCTCGTAAAAATACACGTTGGTAAATGTTTGTTTCAAAGCAGGACAGGGCTGTAAATCTTATTCTTATCGGCTGCAACATGTATCTGAGGAGTAGCAAAGAATAAACTTGAATTACGGGGATATATAAAATCGAACCAAATGCCCGGAAATACTCTCGCGTCGCGAACAATGAATTTGAATTTTGTTAATTTACTTGCGTGCATCTAACTCGCTTCCGATTGGTTTAAAAATAATCAGCTACTGTCAGAACTCACACAGGCGCATTATAGTGAACCAGTCCCTTTAATTTTGGCGCGAAATTTCAGCGTTAATTTGTAATTTCACATGTGAAATTACAAAATTGCCATGGCAACCTTCCGTACGTCTCAGTGTCAAGATGGCGACGAAGTTTTAAAATGTCATGAATGAAGATGTCAGGGCACAAAAAGACGCTTTAGAAAACCTGAACACACGAAAGAGCACATCAAGAAGGATTCTAACAGGTATTTTGTCGAAAAACGCTGAACTTAAGCCAAATTTAAGCTCTAAACGTTCGAGAGAGTGCAGGAGTTCTCGATCGATACGATCCAGGATAAACACGTCAAAAATCCAAGATTGCTAACGTAATTCGTCACCCATGATATTAATAGGTAATCAAATGGTATACTCGTGAAATTAGGGAATAATTTCACTTGCGTTTTGTCCAAATCCTAATAATTTCCCTCGCCTAAAGGCTCGGGAAATTATAAGGATTTGGACAAAACGCGCGTGAAATTATTCCCTAATTTCACTCGTCACCATTTGATTACACATACTAATGTCCTACATGGAATCACAACGTAAGTAAAAAGTTCTTTCAACATATTCATATTGTTTATGGTCAATAGTACATGCATATGGACATTTCCAGGCTGAAACTGCCCAGAAAATAAGAATAGTCCAAGCTCAACTCGAAAAATGGACGTTCTTCTTTTTTATTAAAAAAGAGTGTGTGGCTGTGCTTTGAGAGTTTTTGTCATCCCTGCTAGCTTCTTTGAACTGCTGTTGTGTTGGAGCATATTTTGTTTCTTACGGATATGTTTTCTAACACTCAAAAAGGTAAAAAATATCATGAAGTCACTACCTCCACGTTATATTATTTTAAGCACCTCACGAGCAACTACAACAACTAGAGCAACCACAACATGCAACTACAACAGGTCAACTACAGCAACTGCAACAATTAAGTCTCAGTCAATTCCAACTGTGCCCATCCATTCCCCCCCCCCCTTCCTCGCAACCCTCTCGGGCATTTGTAATCTTGTCGGTCCCGGCTGTCGGGAATTTGTCAGAAAACCTTTGCCAGGGGGTGGGGCATTCGTTAAATCTTCTAGAAACGATTAAAGTCGTTCCTTTTTCAATATTTCACTTAAAAATATACCTATTTAGATAGCTTTAGATTTTTCTATAAAGAATATTTTTCATAAATTCAAAGATATACCTTATTACAGGAAATTAACGCTCCATGAAATTAAAGTATTGGAAATTACCGCGACTTGAATTAACGCGAATTTAATGGAAAACGACTTTCGAATAAAGAAAATTAACGCGAAAGAGGAAGTAGAATTTCATAATAAAGGAAATTAACGCGATTAATTACGCGAAATCAAAGGAGAAGATATTGACATCACTTCTGACAGCGACAACGATGAAGATAAACACTTCGCCTTAGCTTTTGTGAAAGATGAAAACTAAAGGGTAAATGGAAAAAAAGAAAGCTTGTAGTTTTTTTTTAGGTTTCAAGAATGTCTGGACAGGTTCCAAAATTGGGGTTAAAACACTGGAAATTAAAAGCGCGGAAATTAAGGCTGCACTTAATTAACGTCGCGGAAATTAGCGCCCAACAAAATTAACGCGAATTTTAACGATTCGCGTTTATTTCATGGAGCGTTAACTTCCTATAATAAGGTATGTGTGGTTTTCGCTCCCTGTTCAAGCTTAAAAAGTTTACTTCTTCTTTTGGCTTCGTCGCTTTTTTCTTTTTTCTGTTAAGTACGATCAGCTTTTCCCACAATTTTGTTGTTTGCAATAGACATCCCTTTGGCTTACTGGTAGAGTTTAAGCGTTGAAATCTTACTATTTTTAAGATTTCTATCGTTTTCCAGCGACTCAGCAGCAAATTACCTAAAGATGTTTGTTTTTGTTTTTGCAAAGAAGTTGACCCGCATTAGCCTCGCAATCGTGCCCTTCCCAGGGCCGTCGGGGAATACGAAACTTGCCTATTGTTGTTGTGGAAAGCACATATCTTCACTGCAAAGAGGTTTGTGAATAATTATGTATTAATACACAGGATAACTTTTATTCCAAAAACTTCCTAGTTGTTTGGTCAGTAATGCTTTGTGATTTGTGAAAATACAAAAATGTCGAACTCTTCAATTTCAGTGTCTGGCATACAACTGTATCAATCAAGGTAGTCCTTTACAGTATTCACTCATGAGTCATGTTGAGATTTAAAAAAAAAAAGTCACGTTCTATTTTCAATCTGGACTTGTCATTCACTTCATAGTTGATCTGTAATAGTCTTACCTGCACAGATCCTCTTTGGGCATATTTTTTTTGGCCAAAATCCGTAGGAATATATATTTTTATTAATAATTTCCTGGGGATTTTAATTTCCTGCCTTACCCCCCCCCCCCATATCACTTTTCTAAAGGTCCATCCCTAACCATATGAATAGTCAAGATTCCTATAGTTTTAGCCGAGAGCCCTGCTCGTTTCAACTGCTCGACCTGATCTCTCATAATCGAAAACAAAGCTGAAACAACGATTTTTGATGAGATTCCTACAAAACGAGGAAATAACTGAAAAATTAAGCTCTTGCCGAAACCGGTGGGTAGCATCGCGAAAACGTCTTTTCTCCTGGTCAAATTAAGCAGCCCAGCTTTTGCTCAAATAAGCGCATCAATATTTGGGAAATCAAAAGAGAAAATTATCCAGAATTTGATTCACTGAAACCATGCGCGGCTGATCTGCTCGCGATGTTTTTTTATTCAACGCGGGCGAAACGAAGTGAATAGGGAGTTTTAAGCGGCCATGTTTTTGAGCGAAGCACGTCAACCGGAAGTGGACTTGTTGCACTCTTGAGCTGTGATTTAAAATAAACTTTTGGGCAAATCGTCTCTATAAGAGTGAAGACACCTTATGGCCATACAAATTTGTTGGCGTCAAGGCATATTAAAAAAGAGAAAAAAGCTCACTTCCGGTTAAGGTGCTTCGCTCAAAAACGATGCTGCTTTAAAAGCTCCGCTACAAATAAGCGTTCAAATAAACTGTCAGAAATAAACCAATTAGAGGATATACTAGGAGCTGGTATACCGGAATGCGGTATTTAAAACATTGCTTACAGGCTCTACTCACTCTCTCCCACCAAGTCCTTACGCGGTTTTTCGCACTTTTTTTTTTGATCCATTTCCCCCACTATCTTGCAGTCTGGAACAGGCTAGGGAGTCTTCTCCACACGGTCCAGCGACATTATGACGTATTTCACAAAAATGAAAAGAAATTGCCTAAGAAAACAGCCGACATTTCTCGACGCCACCACTGGTTTTCCCCGAAAAATAATTGAAAAAAAAAAAGAAAAAAAACAGTTGTGGTGTCACGAAATGTCGGCTGCTTTCTCAAGCGAGACGAAAAGCCATTTTTGATTTGCCTCGCCCCTTACCTCGGGAGCTGTTCGGGATAGGACCTCTCAGAATAATTCCCAATCCCCTGATCCGAAGGGCTGGACTTTTCCCGAGAGGTACCTGGAGTGGCGGGGGGATTACTCACCAGGTAACATAAGAAATCTCAGTACTAAAATTTAACCCTCGGACGTACAAGGGGTTGGGGGCGGTGGATGCCACCCCCGCTTAAAGTTTTTCTGAGTGTTTTCCTAAAGGATAAAACATCAGCACCTGACGTTTTCAGTAGCTGTTTTTTCATCTCTCGCGCACATTTTGAGATAAGTTCAGTGATGGTCAGTTGCTCTGGTTACGAGATATGATGTCATAAGTAGCAGGTGGTCAAGCCATTTTTGCGTGAAAATACATGTTTTTTTTTACTTCTTTCAACAATAAAAGTAAATATTGTGGCTAAAATCATGTAAAGCGCTTATTTATGTGTTAGTTTTCATTTAAAGCTAAAAAAAATTCATTTCATTTCATTTCTGGAGGTTTTTGCTTTCTCTTTACTTACCGTTCTTTTGCCGACTTTATAGGAGACAATTATTGTTTTGTTGCCCACCTAGAAAAGCCCCGCTAATTGTGGGTAACATAGTCGTAAATTATTTGATTCTTGAATAAACTGTTCTTGTTGTTGTTTGTTTTAGCCTGATTTCTAATTCTTGGTTAAGTCCAAGGTGTCGGCCAAGATGGCGACCATTATTGATGACGTCACAGGCCTCCAGCAGCGCCACCACCCATAAAATATACCTCATCTTGTTAAGGTCTCGGTAAATGAAAATTTTAGTATATTGCTCGATTTTGTTTTTTTTGGATTTTTGGCATGAGTGGGTCCTAAATTTTATTTTCGCAGAAAAAGAAAATCAGAAAGTGCTTTTTAACGCTTCTAAAATGAGCCTTTTCTGAGCTAACCAGCCAAGCGTGGACCTCGCGCTAAATCTTTATGGCTGATTTTCTCTCACTCTATTTTAGACGCAAAAATCAAAATTCTCCGACCTCCAGTCGGGACAGGTTTTAAGCTATCGCTTTGAAACTTTCAGATACTACACGTACTACAGATACTACAGCTACTACACCTACTACAGACACTACAGGTACTACAGTTACTACAGCTACTACACGTACTACAGATACTACACCTACTACAGCTACTACAGATACTACACGTACTACAGATACTACAGCTACTATAGGTACTAGTATCATTGCGTCTACTAGAGCACAGCTACCACAGCACTAACAGTGGTGGGCGGTGGCCCGGGACATTTTGGGCAGTCTTACACCAAGTACTACCCGCTGGACCTTCAGCAGTAAACTCGATGCCTCTGAGATCGAAAGCAAAAAACTTAAGCGCCTTTTGAAATTCGATGAAATAAAATCTTTTATAAGGTAATTTAGTCTTTTAGCTTTAATTTGATATATAACTTGCCTTTGTAGCGAAAATACTCGCGCGACTAGAATTTTTTTCTGTGGGCACCTCGTTTTCCTTTACCGAGACCTTAAGAAGACGGAAGGCTTTCAACTTAAGGTAAAATTGTTTCGAAATACTGCAACATATCAAAAACTCCGGGAAGTGGTTCCATTACCCCCCCAACCCTTGTGGTGGGGGTATGAATTTGCGTGTACGTCCGAGGGTTAACATATTTTACAGTAATTTATTGTGTAAAGAGAAGAAATAGAAAACTTGATAAATGTTGAGTGTGTTCGGTTGTGTTTATATATGCACTATACCTCTAATATTTTTCCATCCTTGTCGGTAAGACGGCATAACGGTTCCTTGGCGTAGTGGAGACGTACAATCCTTGCGGTGCTGGGTTGCTCCGAGGTAGGAATTACCTTGCATCCCAGAAGCTCATTGATGATGGAGCTCTTACCGCAGTTCGTCTGACCAACAAAAATCAGAGCTGGCTCCTCGGTGAAAAGCGACTTAACCTCCTCTCTTTCCCCGGTGGTATACAATAGCTCAGACAGAGGTTCGCCGAAGTCGCATTGGATGTCGCAGTGTCCCGCCGTTGGAGATGAACAAAACTGAATATCGCCGATTAACGCTGTTTCTTCCGCTGCATCTCCTGATCCAGCTCCGGTCGCCAGTGAAGACGTCGCTTGAGTTAACTCCACTTTTAATTCTGCATCACGCGCACCAGACAGCTTTTCAACGAGTTGATTAAAACAACGGATTGTATCGAGGTGTATTTCTTGTATAGTGGCCTTGCTTTTTTTGAAATCTTCGAAAACATCTTTAAGCGGCATGACGAAAAGCGAAAATGAGAAGGACGCTTCTGATCTTAAACATTAGCGGAAGTTATTTGCATAAGCCCTTTCGATTCCCCGAAACAGAGGATGATTCATTCAGGCATGCTGCACTTCAAGGAAATGTTGTACTAGTGGATGGACTCTTGAATGGAGACCACAGGAAACTGGGTCTGTTTCTTTCGCGAACATTCATTTATTGTTCATCTCCTGATCCAGCTCCGGTCGCCAGTGAAGACGTCGCTTGAGTTAACTCCACTTTTAATTCTGCATCACGCGGACCAGACAGCTTTTCAACGAATTGATTAAAACAACGGATTGTATCGAGGTGTATTTCTTGTATAGTAGCCTTGCTTTTTTTGAAATTTTTGAAACATCTTTGAGTGGCATGACGAAAAGCAAAAATCTAAAGGACGCCTCTGATCTTTAGCACAGGCGGAAAATACTGGCCTGCGTAGCATGGCGGTTTTGTTTGGGCGCGCTAAATAATAAATGCGGGCGAGGGCAGAAAAAACCGCGAGAAGATTGGGGCGGGAGCAACTTGAAAAACCGGTTTTTATTTTTCTAGCGGCTTCGCAGCTCAGTCGTGCTCCCGACAAAACCGCCATGCTATGCAGGCTAGAAAATATTTGCATAAACACAGGATGATTCTGGCATGCAGCACTTCACGGAAATCTGGTACTAGCGGATGGACTCGTGAATGGAGACTACAGGAAACTGAGGCTCTTTCTCGGAAACATTAGGCATTTTATCTTATTCAATTACATGCTTATTGTTCATTTTACTCACTGCTATTTACTAATTAAATGTAACCTTTTAAGCAAAAAGGAAGGGCTGTTCTGCAATTGTTTACAAGTCACCGTTAACTTTGCTACAATGTTTTACAATTAATTCTACTTCCTCCAAAACAAGGATGTCTCGGCCGGCCGGGGGTCGAGGGCGGCGTTAGTCATTAGAGAGTTTAAGCAAATCGCTACGGCGACCTCTACTACGGCGGCCGGAAGTAAAAAAGCCCCGAAATGACGCAGTGCGCATGCTTGGGAATGACCTTTCGCTGTAGCGCCAAATCCTACGACGTGAAGAGCTGTCTTCTGGCGTAGTCGCTACTACGTGAGTATAAAAGTCGACTCTTCTCCCATTTTTTACGATCACTGGTTTTAAAAGCTATCATAGATTGTTTTTCACTTTATCAAGAAAGTATTCGAGGCTTCTGGTTTTCCAGTGAATACGTTTTCCTTGCGTTTTCTCAGTTTGAGATTTCGATCCTCAAGCGAGTGTGCCATGAGTTCTGCCGCGCCATAGCCGTAGAAAATCCGCCAGCACAAACAAAGGCTAGACGAAAACCGTAAGCACGACTGTTAGCAATAAAGCTAAATGTCACTGAAGGTTGTTTAAACAAGAATAGAATAGAATATCTAAAACGCTGAATTTGTTGATTTGTTGTTAAATGCGGTACACAAGAAGAAACATCACTAGCAACTTACTCCGATCTTCATCTGTAGTTTTCTGTTTTGTGTACGAATCGCTCTCTGATGATGTTTACTATCAATATTCTTCTTGGCAAACGAAATTTTAAATTGGCCGTTTTCTTACTTGACCACCATTAAATTCTGTTGTTGATAAATTATAGCGAAAGCAAGTGAGCAAGAACCGAGCTTGAAATTTGGCGAGCTACGAGACGTACTCTCCCCAGGACACCGCATCCACGACCGCCGTAGTAGAGGTCGCCGTAGCGATTTGCTTAAACTCCCTATTATTCGACAATACTTCTTGAAAGATAAATAGAGATATCAACAAGGTTTTCAATGTGAAGCGGAGACATGTGATATTTTACTTTAGCCTAAAGATTGAAATCTAAGTTTTATGCTCCATTTTTCTCGAGAAGGGGCTAGACTTAGAAACGTTAGCTTTCAAATATTTTTGCGGTGGTTCATTAACAGTGCCGAACCCAGTTGATAAAGCCTATTTTCCTGTTTCACTCGACCACAGTTTCCTACCGTGAACGATTTTGGAAGAACAGTTCCCAATGTTGAAAAATATAGTCCACTTAGTGGGGCAGGAAAGCGTGACGAACCCCTAAGAACGTCTGCGTGGGAGGCAATTACTGCTGCTGATCAGATAGGTAATGGCGTCATTTCGTTGCTATGTCAACCCCGATGTCATTGCAACCCTGATCTTAATAAATTTTCGTCTTTACCTTATATAGCCTGAAATTCATCCGATTGCTTCGAGTCGTTTTCTCCTCTCAACAACGTCTGAATCGACCGGCCGTTAGTGCCGTCCAGTGACGTCACTCACTAAAACCGGGTAGTGATTTTGATTGGTTGATTGTCTAAACATTCGCATAATTATAAAAAAATTTTAGCGGGATTGTCACAGGGAGCAGAGGAGTTCAGTATGAATTAGATAATAAAGAATCTCTAGCGCTTCATTCAGCGGTTATGTTTCAAAATAATGGCGGTCGGAAAGAAACGTTGAGTGAAAGGGAAGATCGAAGCAAAATTACCCTTGTCTTCGAAACTGAAATGCTAAATTGAACTGCGAATGAAGAATCATTGCCGAGAGTCGGTAGGTTTTTCATTTGGAGGCGCTTTGTGGTTTCGGCGGCCGGTGATTTCGTTTACGCGAAGTTTTCTGGGATCAATATTATAATTCGACCTTCTGCTGCTATTTTTACCGTCAAGTGTAATGATTCTGTCAGCTTTTCTTTCTTGTTTCCTTGTTTTTTTCTTCGTTAAGGACCAAATGGCTTCTTTTCAATTAAAGCAAATCATTGTGTTTTTGAACTAATTAAAGTGTTCCGTGTGTGTGTTTATTTCATTGCGTGATTGCGACCGAGTTTGATTATAGAATTGAGTACAACCGGTTCAGAGTTGTACTGCATGCAGTTGATAGTTTGAACGTTAAACATGAACTACGATCGAAAAAAATAAAGCAATTCTGTATCATGCAGACATTTCCAAACGATATTTCTCGGTTTGCCACTTGAAAATCGTGTTTTACTTTTTGCATAAATTAAAGCAAAGGTCAAGGAGTGACGTCACTGGACGGCATTAACGGCCGGTCGATTCAAACGTTAACGACTCGAAGTAATCGGATGAAATTCAGGCTATACCTAATACAACTGTGGTGGAAATTTCTCCAAATCATCGTGTTTATGGCTACGTGGTTTATGCTCAAACTTGGGAGGTATTGACCCTGAAAAACTGTGCAATTCTACAGAGAAAATTTTGCTGGCTGGGAACTGAGGTTTCGGCTGTTCTCCTGGGAAGTAAAGTCTTAAATCTACGGTCAAGAATTTATCAAATGTATCAAAAATTCTTGCTAGAGGTATTTTATAGCGGGGCTCCCGCGCGCGCGAAGCGCGCGTGGGACAGAGCCCCATACTCATGAAATATGGGGCGCTTTCCATTTACGAAAAAACCCCGGAAATTTCGGTGGTAGCAAAAGTGGAATTTCCGATTGGTAAAAAGTTGTTCCATTTGGTCGTAAACCCCGGTACGTGGCGCGGTGCCCGACCGTGGACCTGGAACTGGTACAAACTACGAGAAACGTAAATGGAACACGACATTCCGTTCGGAAATTCCAACCGGGAAAACGGGACCACCTTTTTAGATTTTCCACTTTTTCTGGGAATTTTCCAGTGGGACGAACCGACGAAACGTGTTCCATTTACCGCCGAACCGGAAATTCCGGAAATTTTGACTAAATGGAAAGCGCCCATGGTCAACCTCTTTTCGTTTGGTTGTCACGTGATTGACCGAGCGTACGTACGTACGCGTCTACAGATTGTACGGGTGGGGTAGGGGAGACTATCAAAAGGAAGGAAGGGGTGTCTCAGGCGTGTCTTGGCAAGTCCACATCTTTAATATAGGATTTTAGTATAGGACTTTCACAATATGGTCAATTGACAGCTGTCAAAACAGGATAGCCACTGACCAGTATCCCATGACCATATCGCGGGCTCATGTGTCAACTCATCGAGGTGACGTGATTTATTTGGAAGCTGTCCGCTGACCAGTTAATTGTTTTACTAGATCGCGAACAATGTTCAATCTCATACTTTTACTAGTTAAACTGATAATGCACACATATTGGACATCAATGTTTTGATCAATTGACAGCTGTCAAAACGGTAGGTACGTGGTGTAAGCATCATATAGTGGTTCCCCGTTAGTTACTAGAAGCAGTCTACATAATCCTACATAGCCCTACACAGCCCTACATAGCCCTACATAACCATACACAGCCCTACATGGCCCTACATAGCCATACACAGACCTACATAGCCATACTTAGCCCTACATAGCCATACATAGCCATACATAGCCATACATAGCCATACATAGCCATACATAGCCCTACACAGCCATACACAGCCATACAGAGCCATACATAGCCATACACAGCCATACATAGCCATACACAGCCATACATAGCCATACATAGCCATACATAGCCCTACATAGCCATACATAGCCCTACATAGCCATACATAGCCATACACAGCCATACATAGCCATACATAACCATACATAGCCCTACATAGCCATACATAGCCCTACATAGCCATTCATAGCCATACATAGCCATACACAGCCCTACACAGCCATACACAGCCCTACATAGCCCTACATAACCATACACAGCCCTACATAGGCCTACATAGCCATACACAGACCTACATAGCCCCACATAGCCCTACATAGCCCTACATAGCCATACATAGCCCTACACAGCCATACATAGCCCTACATAGCCATACATAGCCCTACATAGCCCTAAATAGCCCTACATAGCCATACATAGCCCTACACAGCCATACATAGCCCTACATAGCCCTACATAGCCCTACATAGCCATACATAGCCCTACACAGCCATACATAGCCCTACATAGCCATACATAGCCATACATAGCCATACACAGCCCCATATAGCCATACATAGCACATAGCCCTACATAGCCATACATAGCCCTACATAGCTATACATAGCCCATACATAGCCCTACATAGCCATACATAGCTCCATATATAGCCATA